TAATTCTAAAAACAATAAAATAGATAGACTTAGAGTGTGCTTTCGGTCAGTTCGCTCTCAGCCTGAGTACAATAACTAGTTTGGCTTAAATACAGTCAGTGGTGTGGGTTGGTGATGAAAAGGTGTGGCGCCAAGCTATCTGCAGGAGTCAAGTACATTCCCAATCAAGGAACAATATATGGGTTTTTGATCTTTGATTTCCTTTTGTGTTTGGACATGCGTGAGCCGCTACAAATAAAATGGCAGAACCAAAATATGCGCACATTTTTAAATTAGTTGGGCTTAAGCCAAAACAGGTGAGAAAAAGCATTTTGATGTGCAAGTGTGAAGCCTTGCTAAAGCGCATTGATTTTTAAACATGTAAGTAATGCGACTATTGGTTCATCTATTTGTATATAATGCTAGTCTATCCTTCTTTGTTACAAACAAATCAATAACCAGTTTATTAAAAGCAGATGTGTTGCTTACTTCCTACATGTATTTTGTGAACCAGCAACATAATCAGAGCATTTAACCCGTCTTGGCTGTCTGTGAGCTGTGCGTACGTGATAACCAACCAATGCTAGAAGCCAATTTTTCCATATTTTTCACTAGGCTGTCCTCCCTGCAAGTGATCAATATTACAATGATAAGCTAGTCTTGACTGTCTTGACATTGACAAGGATCTATGTTCGAGGGCTATCCCACGGAAAACCGGAATTTGGCTGTAATTTAAAAAGTATTCAATATTTTCACATTCTGTAAACGCACACTAGCAAAACAATCATTTAGGAATTTCCCAATTGAGCACCATGAACATCGCACAAACCAAACGAGCACAGCAGTTCTCCAAAGATCGTTACCCCCTTTGAAAATTGGTCAAGGGTAGAAGTGAGGTCTGTCATTCGGTTTCTGACCGCAAAAAATCTCAAACCTATAGAAATACACACTGAAATAAAGTCAGTTTACGGGTAGAAAGTAATGGCAAAATCACAGGTATGTGAGAGGTGTAGTAAGTACAAAGCCGGGCATACGGATGTCAATGACAAAGTTCACCCAGGACCTTGTTTTTCTGCCAAGATTGAGGACAACAAGAGTCGCATTAACAAACTCATTCAAACAGACAGGCCCCTTACAATTCGCGAAATTTCCCAGTCGCTAAACATTTCAAAGTCGACTGTCCATAGGATAGAGTTTGATGAGCTGGTTGCACTATCGAAAGGTCTCTGCTCGACGGATCCCAAAAGAGCTGACAGCTGACCACAAGACGCAACGTGTTGAAGTGTCTCAGACTTTGTTGAATCGTTGTCGCCAAGCAGTCACGGGAGTCATGAACGAATCTGGAGACCACCAACATTACGATGAAGCATTCCTGAGAAGCATTATTACCGGTGATGAGACTTGGATACACCACATGACCCCTGACACGAAGAGGAACTCAGTGGTTTGGAAGCACACGTCTTCACCTCCCCCGAAAAAGTTTATCAGCCATCGGAGAAGAAACTCATGGCCACGGTTTTCTGGGATGCTAAGGGTGTTCTGTTTCTTGACATTCTGGAAACAGGACAAACTGTTAATGCTAACAGATACTGCCAGACTCTTGATAAGTTGAGAGAGGTTGTGCGCAGAAAAAGACCAGGCCGGTTGTCCAGCGGGGTCATTATGCAGCATGACAACGCAACGCCACACACCGCAGCCGCTATGAAAGACTTGATCCAAAGATTCGGCTGGGAAGTTCTGCCACATCCCCCTCACAGTCCTGACTTGGCCCCATCAGATTATCACCTTTACTTTTTGGACAAATGAAATGCCATATTTCTGGACAGCGATTCACCGACGACAAAGACCTCGTGGAGGCCGTGGAAGATTGTTTGAAATCCCTTGACAAATTGTTCAGGGATGGTATCTTCTCCCTGATCCAGCGATGGGAAAAATGCGTCCAGCGGGATGGTTATTCATCATCATCTAGTGCCAGATCTGCGACAGACATCGGGGATCATGGTTTTCCATTCATTCCTTTGCTCGGATGCTCTAAAAAAAGCTACGTTTCCCTGATCTTTCCCTGTTACCCATTTGCTTAGGTTCCCTAAGTATGTTGTTCTGGGCCTACCCCTGCCTCGCTAGCCCTCAATTTGGATGGTTATTGCATTGAGAAATAAAACACATGTTGAGGTAGGATGGGCCACATTATTATTATAATAGGACAGAGATTGTTGCTTTTATGGACCTTTCCCGGTTTTCCGTGGGACAGCCCTCGTATTTTTCGAGCACTCCCCCCCCCCCCAACCACCACAAACAGATGGCCTGGTTCAAATCCCCAGGAGGGCATTCTTAAACTTGGGTCGTTTTGTGGAGTTTTTAAAGCTCTCAGTCTCAGCCCATTTGGCTTGGTTTACATTCTATCAGAGATGGGCTGTAAATTTGGAGGACCTGCTTCTTAAATACCGGCAGTGAAAGTTTTGAAAGGGATGTTAAACCTATAGGCTACTTACTTTTACTTACACCAGGGTTATCTGCATGGTAGTCCAGCATGATAGCAACTGAGTGAAGCGAGCGCCCACAGTAAGGGATGGGACTGGGACACAAAGTCCTTGGTAAGTGTGATGAAATATTCAGAGAAGAATCAGACTGATCAAAGACGACACGAAATAAAAATATTCACACATTGGGTTCTATATATTGAGAAACGTTTTTTTTATTTAGTCATTCATCTCTCTTAACTATCCCATGATTTACACTGGAGGATTTTTATATCATTAAACATGACGACATTCGCACCAAGGCAAAATCATGAATCTTGTATGCACGTTATAAGTAGAGCAAGTTCTCAATATGAGACATGCTGATGGTCTCCTCATACATTATATAGTAACTTTCCAAATACACAGTATTTTATTTAAAGAATATGACTATGGGTTTCAAATTGAAAGCTTCAAACATGGATTCAAACTCAATCACATATCATTATTTCACAACAGACCTTTTGCCTACAGTTTAGTACAAAGATGAACATCGATACAATTACAACCACTACGTGAAGGGGAAAAGTAGACAGACAGAAACAGCAGAGGGAATCAGCCTACCAGTGGCACGCTCAGACCATCCAGATTTAAAGTTTGAACAACCCCCTAAATCAGGCATGGGCAAGCATATTCAAGTCGCAGGCCTGATAAAATTATTCTGAAAATATTATGGACAGGCGAAATTTGGATGAAACATTAAAAATACTCAAGCTCTCAAAAGTAAGACTAAAATTCACACTATAGTATATGTCACTCAAAGGCATTTCGTGAGATGAAATTTTAGATATAGGCCTACTAAACTTTTAATTTCCAAAATGGACAGGTTTTTAAAAAATTAATCATCGACTCGATGTGCCACATTCATCATTAATTAATTACTAGGTCGACGCGCAGGCTGGACCGAAATGGCTCATGGGCCAGATCTGGCCTGTGGGCCATAGTATGCCAGGCCTGACCAAAATAGTATAGCATGTTATCAAGGTTAGATGAGGAAAAATGACAAACACTATATCACCGTATCCCAAGATAATGCAAAAGGTACAAGAAAACAAGGCACTTTCCAAAAGAAGTGTCAGTCTACATATATGTATGATATTTACATTATTTACTGAGAAATGTCTGACATACTATGAATGTAGACAAACATAAAATAAGTAACTTCACTCACTTTTTCTTCAAAGTCATTATTGGGCTACTCAAAAAAAAAAAAAATGCACACAATCATCTTGTTCGTTTACCACTGTTAGCAACAATCAAATGGATAGACCTACTGATAAGCTGAAAGCTTTATAATCAAACGTCAAGAGGAAAATCACAAAGAAACAATTGAAAATAGGGACACTTGCAAAGTGAGTAGTATTTATCACCAGTATGTGAAGATAATGGGGGAAAAAAGAATAAATACAATGGACTTCATTTCACATTAATGCCATTCAACATGAAATTCCTGTTAACTTGAAAGGGCATCAAATCCATAAGCTTTTGTTTTTCTTTCTTTATTCAAGCATTGCAACTTGCCTCAACACGACATCTGATTAACACGATTGTCTGGTCCCATGATGAAGTTCCATGTTGTACTACCTTTTACTTGATTTAAGGCTCAAGAAAGACACTAGAAAGAAAATTCATTCCATGAAAGCTATTTTGTGGTGCCCAAAGAAAACCTAAATCTTGTAAATAATCTGATAGTGAGACAGGATACCGTGCAAGCAATAAATATACATAAGTGTGAAGATAGGCCTACTCCTCTGAAAGTCTAAAAACATGAAAAGAGAAAACTAACATAAAGAGGAAAATCCTGGAAGCAGATCTGCGAACCACTTTATGATAAAAAATAGGAGAGCTCCTAAGAATCCTCCCTAGTAATTGGAGATGGGGGGAGGGGGGGGGGGTGTAATCAGTCTTCAAAACATCAGTACACTAATATTAAGATTATGTAACAAACTAGCCATGGCAAAAAAAAAAACCCAACATGTATTGTACAACCACGCCAACAAAACAACAAATAAACATGTGTATTTTCACTTTGTTTATGATAAGTCATACAAATAACGCCAAAAAAACCCTGTAAGCCATTCCCCCACCCCCCCCCCCCCCCCCCTTTCCAAAAAACAACAGAAGGCTCTGGTTTTATCAAAGTACTCGGCAGATCTACTGGACATAAAACTAAGAGGCACAAGATTTTTAGACTAAAGTTTTTCAGGTCAAAGATGATAATGGTGTCAAAGAGAGGAATGTTTTCAGTTTTCACTAGAGCACACAAATAGAGATGGTACAATCTTTAGACATAAGATGTCATTATTTACCCACAAAAACACAGGCAATGCAATAAACAGAACAACCTAATGACTGGGATGTATTAAACAAAATAATATGTTTATCACTATATGGTGATATCATGACATTATCACTATATGGCACTGAGCAGAAAGGTGAAAGCCCACGAGCTGCTGGTTCAGACAACAAAGTAAGAAAAGAGAGGTAGTAGAAAAAAATATATTTCTATTTGTTCACATGGAGAAAAGTAACAACAGCACATACTGTGCATACGTAAAAATAAATATAAGTACCAGTAAACATAAGATCAGAAAATGTCAAACATCCAACCAATAAGGAGAGAATGACAAATCATGCCATAGTGTAGCACCCTGTATCCATTTGCTGCTGGATGAACCAAGAAGAAGTGAGAAAAGTATCTTTTGAAAGGATACAACATTCTATTCCACAGAGCAGGAATTCAAACTCATAACATTTTAATTGCAAGTCAAACATCTTATCCCTGGGCTCAAATGATCCCTACTACGGAATAAAAAAGACACCTCAGTGTGCAGGAGGGGGGAGGGGGGGGAGGAGGGAGAAGGAATAAATATTTGACGTTTGAAAGAGATAGATATATGAGGAAAAAATAAAGAAGAGAGGGAAGGGAAAACAAAGCAAAAGGAAAAGGTCGGGAAAACAGAGACTCAGCTTGTAACTGATGCCATACCTCTAGACTTAGTGAGATTCCAGAAAGAGAGAAGAGAAGACTAAATCTGGACCTGTCCAGAAGGCATCAAAAGCTGCTCCCCCTTGACCATAAACAAAAGACAAAAACTACAATTTCACACATTACCTGAGTGAAACTTTAAACTAGGTTATATATTATATACTCCAACAACATTTTTACAATGATAAATCAGACAGAACTATGAACCTGTGGACAAAATTCACAGGCGCATTATTTTTTTATTTGGTCCTTATCTAGGAGAATACACCATGTAGGCTACATATATATATGCTGTTTTTCCATTGGTCCAGCTTCAATTTGAAAAAAGCAACATATTTCAATTTGTCAAAAAGAGCAGAGTACACACATGAAAAATTGAAAGAAAGACTAACAAATATGGGGACAGTTCTCGAATATGCTTTGCTATTACATTTTCTATGTTACATAAACACCCAAAAGAAGAAAACACTGTCCAGGTACTTTTAATATAAACAAATTCAAAACTTAACAAACAAAAAAAAAAGGAACATTTCTTGGTTTTTAGCAAAAATGGTTTTGGTCTTCAGCATGAAGGCATCCCTCACAGTTCAGCTGGGTGATCTTCCTCTTTCATTTTAATAACCACTTTTCCCATAGACTTGCGGTCCAGAATGTACTGGTATGCTTCATTGACCTGGGGACAAAAGTCAAAGACCAGATAAGCATTGACATCCAAATGGTCATTTCATGCTGGGAAAAAGTAAAGCAGACAGACAGAAACAACAGAGAGAAAGCAAACAAGTAGGACCTACCAGTTGCGACCTCCTACCACACGCAAATAAGCATTAAATCTACTGTCATCGACACTATCATCACAATCCTAATCAATGTTTTTAAGAAAGTGCGGAAAACAAAACAGGGAGTTTTGTTAAGCTGTTGAAGGTTGTACAAGACACATCATTTTAAGGTTGTGACTCACAGCGCATTGATAAAAACAAAAATTAGAAAGATCATTTTTACATCACTTCTCTTTATTTCCCTTATATCAAAGGGGGACACTTTAAAAAAACATCCTAATTAACTTGTACAAGTGAAGCCATAATATATATATATAACATACCATAACATTACCACCCACATGATATACAGCACAATCAAAACAAAAACACAGTGCCTAAACTCTATAGACGATTTAACAAAGACATACAGCAGCGGACTTTGTTTTACACAAGGTCATTTGACACCCAAGAGGGCTCTCGTGGCCAAGAGGTTAAGGTGTTCGCCTCCCATTCAAAGGTCCCGGGTTAGAATCCGGGTAGCGATCGAAAAATTTTCATCTCTGAAACTGTCTCCTTTCACCTCCTTATCTGCTCTCTAGCAATGTTCTGTCATCTGCATTCGTCTCCTCTTTCTGCCCCCACCCCCTCACCTCCTTTGCCCCCTCCTCTGGGCTCCTGACTCTTTCTGCAGTCTTTCTACTGCTACTTCTTGGCTCCTTCTTACTGCTGTCTTTCAGCCACACCTCTCATTTTCAGGTAGGAGAGACCTACAGCTTGCCTTCTTGGACAAGGGCGCAAAATCTCGGAGGTCCCGTGTGCATGTTGTGCACATTAAAGATCCCTTGGTTGTCTAAAATTGATAAGAGTAGGCTTTGGCCGCCACCCGGGCAAAATTCAAAATTTACTACCAACTGAAAAATGTTAAAAGTGTCCCGCACGCTCATATGGCCTCAGCAGTTGCGAGCCTCGTAAAACACTTACCAACACAAAAAACAACAAATGACATCAAAATCCAGTTCACACGAAAGGACTTCAAATTCCAGTTTTTTCCCTTACTTATTCTATACATTACAACTGGCCTGAAAAAAATAATAATCTGTGAAACACAAAGAAATCCTCTGGTCCCATAAAGTTCAAGTCATCAGGAGTTTACTGTATTTCTTAATGCCTTTTAGTAGAGAGAGGGTCAAGGTGTCTTGCTAAGGCCCCAGTTAGACAGGATAGTCCAAACTGTAGTGCCCCGTTCGTCGAGAGACAGTTTACACCGCTAGTAATTATAATAATAACAGGTATCATTTGTTCAGCGCATACTCCCGCTCTACAGCAAGCTCAAGTCGATTTACAATCTATATTATTACCCCAGCAGACCTAAAAGCATTCTGAAACAATCTCAATTTCCTGGGAAGCATACAGTGCAAGCTGCCATTTTATAGGCGCTTGAACACTAACATACTGACAAGGTCTTTTGCTGTCTATGGCTGGGTACCCGTTCCCACCTAGGTGAAAAGAGGAAAATCCGTGCAAAGTGCTTTTCCAGAGGACACAACGTCAGGCCTGATGCTCAAACCCCCAAATCAGTAACCTCACTATTACGAGTCCGGTAGCTTATCTACAAGACTACTGACACCACGGTATATATATATATATATATATATACTGTTCATTTCTCAGTTCATCTCCACTGTGTATTACAGTGGATCCTATTGTATTATAGCTGTGGAAAAGGAGGTGGGAGAGGAAAAGAAATCGACCCAGATGCACATGGTATATCCTATTCAACCCTATCCGTACGTCATGCTTTACTATCGTATCCATACAACGTGGGGAACTCTGTGCCACCACTTTCCAAAGAAGAGATTTACTCGTTAATCCGATGTGTACGCTTCGCATAGCAGTCTGTCAAAATGATGTTTTGAGAAGTACTGAAAGTTTCAAAGAGATCTTCGTACTAGAAGTATTCTAAAATGTGAAGAATACAACCCAGGGGGGCACAAAATGACCCAAGGCAGTACGGATAGGGTTAACACACATAAAGTTGGAAAATGTTGCTCTATTTTTCAAAACGATGACGAACAATTCTTCAATTACACAAGAAAGATGCTTGCATCATTCAAAGAGAAGTTTTTCCATGTGGAGGACAGGATTTATCACCCTTCGCTAAATTACTATCACTGTATCTTTTGTCACTTTTTGTGAACAAATAGGGTATTTCTTTGACAAGTTTAATAAGTTTTAGTAATTGGGTCTTCGTCATCAAGATCCTCAGAAGAAAAAAATGTGGTTTGAGTTTCCCTGTCACTCATTCTGATATCATGCTTTAAACTTGTTATAAGAAAGATCACTACTCTTTAAACTGAGGTCAAGAGAAACGATGAAGAAAAATTGCAAGGAGAGCACATGAGCTGAAATTTTTACCAACTGCAGGAAAAACAGCGCTATTCGACTCTAACCGCAATGACATGGTATATTACATCCTTAGACTTTGACCGTTATCTCACTTGCATGCATTTCAAGTCTCAGAGGCATATTGCCGCCTGTGTAAACACTACCTCTATTTTGATTGTTACTATTTCCATCAAGGCACCATAGTACAGTTTGGCCCATCTTGTCTAATTCCTCACTTACAGACATGCAACAGTGTGCTCTCAATCCCAATACATCATCAAAGACATTCAAAGTAAACCAACATTCACAGAAAACTTAACAACAGGAACAATGAAAAAAAAAAGAAAGAGAACTGAGCGATAAAGAAGTCAAATACATCCACCTGATGATGTTCACGTGTGTGATTTTGTCATTTAAAAAATCAAAGGCTTGGTGCCCAAGTAGGTGGTGGGCTGCTGGACTCAATTCCAAAATGTTGCGATTTCCGTCCCTGAGTTGCCTGTTATTGATGCTGTGGGCTAATACTTTCTCTCAAAAACGTGAAAATTGCAGAGATATAAGGAGCCTTTTCTCAAGCACACATATATATTATGTTAATACCTCCTATTCCGATTGTGCACACAAAACTAGAAACATAAGTGTAAGTTAGAAGCATATCCTACACTGTAAAATTCAATTCTGTGTCATGAGTAGTGTCCACAGGCCCTGCTGCTAAACGGTCCACCCTTCAAATTGGCACTGATTGAAAAAAATGAAAGACAGCTTCAAAGACCTCCTTGCCGACCACGAAAAACAAGCAGCTCAAATACGTTCAACCCACTCTGTGAAAGAAGGTCAAAGGAGTCACAAAATTTTCTCAAAACAGCAATGCTGAGTGCCGCAACCCAGTTCTAGCGTAAAGTAACAAACATAAATTCTGCAGTACCTGATCCAGAGGGAAGGTCTGCCCCACGTAAGGGCGGAGCTTATTCTCCCCCACGCCTTGCAGTACTTGAGTGATGGACTCATAGAAGGCCACAGGGTTTGCCATGGAGTAGCTGCCCCAGAACACGCCGATCAGCGAAGCCGACTTGAGCAAAAGAATGTTAGCAGGAATGCTGGGGATCTTGCCAGAAGCATATCCAATTGTCACCGCTCGTCCTTCAAAGCCCATACTGTAGATTAAATTAAATGAGAATAAAGTGCTTATTTATAGTTTTAAAAAACTGAAATTTAAATAACTCCTTAGACCTTCGATTCATTTTAAGTATCATTGCTGTTTGTTCAAAGTAAATGTTATTATTCATCATTCGAAGAATAAATATAGACTTGAAAAGGTGTAAGAGCAAACAGGTAATCTGATCACCTCAACAGCTTTTCTGGTGTTTTTATTCCTGTGAAAAAAAACCAACCCACTAATCCAATAAATGCTGCTGTAAAAGCAAAATAGAAATCCAAGCATTCTTTTGAAGTAGCAGAGGAAGGAAAAGGGACAAAAAAACATGAACATAAAGGGAAGACATAAAGTGCTTTTTTGGGTGGGAGAGGGGGGGGGGGGGTTGTTTGTCTGTCCTACTCTTACCAATATAAATGATATTATTAATGTTAATGCATTAATGCATGTGGTTGGAGGGTGCCACTGGTAAGTCCTATTTCTTTACTTTCCCTCTGTTTTTTTTGTTAGTATGTCTGTGATACCCAACACTACATTACAGTTCTTGTATCATCGTGCTTCTCTTTATTCACACTTGGTGGTAATGGCTCCCCCCCCCCCCCCAACACACACACAATCAGGCCAAGCACTGAAACACAGAAATCATAAACAACACTGTCCTATCTAGATTTCATGCTATAACAGAAGGCATTTACTGTGAGCCAAGCACGGGACAAATGTTCTCAAGCCGCACACTCCTACTGACCTTTTAATGCATTCCAGCAAGGTGTCTCCTCCAACCTGATCCATGACCACGTTGACCCCCTGACCCCCAGTGTACTCCTTGACCTTGTCCCTGATGCTCTCTTTTGTGTAGTCAATGGCTTTAGCAGCACCATGCTCCAGCAAAAAGTTGCACTTGTCTTGGCCACCGCACACAGCAATCACCTGTTGGGCACAAACAAGTATATGTTGAGGGGTTGCTCACAGCATCAATCCGTGAACGACCATATGAGTCACAACACAGTGGAATCAGGCGCTTTCCAATTTTTGGGCATGTGGAGTTATTGGTATCACTTTAAAGCTTGCTTATTTGTCTTACTTTCAATTTTTAAAAAATACTCATCCATCTTGAACAGAAGTCGAGATATTTGTGATTGAAGGAGGTGGGCCTAATTTCAGAGGAAATATAACTTAATAAGCGAGAAAATGGTCACCAAAGCTTCACTACTAACACAGCTTGGGAGTCCATGGAAACTAATGATGTACATTTTTTGTGCCTTTACTTAACATTTTTTCAGTAAAATCCACACAAAATTGGGTTTTTGAATGGATATAAAAGGTGTTGAACCAAAAAACAAAAAATTCAATGAAAATTGCCAAACCAGCGGAAATATGTCGGTTTCTTCAATTTCATAATTATGACGAGCGCCTGATTTCACCACCATGACTGAAATATTATATTGACGTTTGCTTTCAGCATTGATCCAATAATGGCAATATTTCATTACGAACAGAATTTTTTTTAAAGTAGCACCATATACAAGGAGAAGGAGCGCATCATTCCAAAGCATGTACCAACCAGCCACAACTATTCATAATTTGTGCTAAGAAACGCGCATTCAAAAATTACAAATCTCATCTGAAAGACTCAATGTATAGACACTTTTGAAGGTAAAAACAGTCTGAGAAAGTATATCTCTTGTCTAAAAAGAAGATGCTAAGTATACATAATATATCTATTTATCCTACAGTCACATGTACACGGTAAGTACTCTCAACTACTCTCACTAAATGAAAGCTGATGATGTGAGGTTTCATTTCTCTTTGTTTTAGTAGAGGTTTTTCGGCGCTCGCAACTGTGGTCTATTCGGTTGTTTAATTTGCAATATGGCGAGTTGGTCAATGGCAGGGGGTAAGGCCTAGCCTATTGTATTGTTTGGCTGAAAGTGTGAGAGTGAATGAGTAAAGTGAGAGTCACAGTTCAATTGTACTGTTTGGTGCAAAAGTATAAAAGCAGTCTGGATTACTACAGGTCAGACTTTAGAGGGGAGAGCTGTAGCAAGGCAGAGGAGGCCGGCTGAGATTTCGGGTGGAGAAAAGGCAAGTTAGAGCCTCGGTTTATTTCTGTGTTGTGTGTGAGATTTCAACGCACCGGGGCCCCATCGCGGAGGAAAGGATCACCATCCGGAGAGAAACAGGTTTGGCTAACCCCTATTGTAAAAGCAGGCAAACAAAAGGTTAGTGTTAAACCGTTAAACATTATTTTATGTTCAAGTAACAACAGCAACTGCACAAGGTCATATGAGCGCAAGAAGATTAGAGGTGCTATATCATCCAGTGCCAGATCTGCGACAGACATCGGCGATCATGGTTTTCCATTCATTCCTTTGCTCGGATGCTCTCAAAAAAGCTATGTTTCCCTGATCTTTCCCTGTTACCCATTTGTTTAGGTTCCCTAAGTATGTTGTTCTGGGCCTACCCCTGCCTCGCTTGTCCTCAATTTTGCCAGTGAGAGCTAGATGTTCAAGACCCTTATGTCTATTCAGGTGTCCCAAAAACTGCATTTGTCGTTTCCTGATTGTTTTTAACATTGAGCCTCCCGCGTGGGCTTCATCAAGCACTACCTCATTTGATTTCTTTTCCTTCCACAATACTCTTAGCAGTTACAAGAGAGTAACAAACATAAAAAAGAAGGAGGGAGATAAGGACGATAGATGTTTGATAGGAAAGAAGAAGCAAACCAAACCAGAGCACCCACCGATCCCCCCACTTCATTTCTCTCCGGAGACCTTTGTTAACATTATATTGCAAAGTTATAGCAAACTTTTCAGGAAGGAAGAAAATGAACCTCAGGCACAAGTCAGTGATAAGCATTTAGACGGGTAGTCACTGATGATGCATGTCCTCGAGCAAGACAGGATTTTCAATCCTTTGAGCCCTGACCTCCTGAGACTACCATGCCCCTCTGCATGAGCTCCTGAACCATTCATGGCTAAATTTCTCTCACATTTATAATTATCATCGTCAGAATCACATTCCATATCCCACAAAGGGTAGTTCTTATCATCATTACCAGCATCCAATTCAGAAAGATCTTCAAAATAATTAAAAATGTCCAGTGAGGTGAACACTGTTTTCCATGCGCGTTTTGTCCCAGACAGGCCCAGTTGGGGATAGAATCTTGCTCACTGTTTACCGGTGGCTAGGTATACAGACAATTTCACACCCCACCAGTGTACCAGTGGCTAAGGCTCAAAGAGTTAAAAAGTCATAAGAATGGCAGGCCATGCGAGCTCTCACCTCGCAGTCGAACATATTCTTGGCAATGTCTGTGATGGCCAGACCTGTCGCTCCAGCAGCGGCAGTGACAAGAACACGCTCTCTGGGATACAAAAAAAAAGATTGTGCAACATTTTAGAAGGACACAGTCACAAGAGGAAAAGAAAGGCCTATAGATAAAGAGATAGGACAATTTTTTTTTGGTATGTTTTATAGCATTTGCAATACAAATAGGTCACTACACCACTGTCGTTGATCTGAGCACACCGCAATATGATAGGTTGGACAATCAGTCAGTTTAAGTAAATGACCAAAACACTAAAATCATTGAAGCAATTTTGTCAACACACAACATAGATCTTCTGTACGTACGTCTTCTTACTTAGAGACAAGTGCTTTTTGTTGGTTTTAGTAAGAGTTTTACGGCACTTGCAACACAATAAGGACGTATGAACTGACAAAAATTAGAGGTGTTACAAGAAAGAAACAAACACAAAAAAGGAGGAGAGATAACGATGACAGATGTTTGATAGAAGGAAAGAAGCAAACCACACCAGAGCACCCGCCAACCATCCACAAACAAGCACGACACCATTGTAAGAATCATAAATAACCAAATGAAATAAATATAATGAACTCTCACCGTTTCTTGAGCTTAGCCTTCCTATTCAGAGCCATCATAGCCGTCCCATAGTTGACAATAGTGGCTGCTGCCTCTACCAAGCTCAGATTGTCTGGGACTGGGATAAGCCCCTGGAAAAAGTCACAAAACATGAAACTCAAACTGTCTCTGAACTTAAAATCAGCTGTGCAGTCGGCAGAGGATGAGATTTTATTTCCACAAATTATATCAAATATATAAAATGGCAGCTTGCACTGGATGCTTGAAGCTATCAGGTCTTTATTAGTTTCAGTACAGGTTTTACGGTGCTCGCAACTGCATAAGGTCATATGGGCGCCAGAAGATTATAGGTTTTACAAGAGAGTAACAAACATAAAAAAAAGAAGGGGAGATAAGGACGATAGATGTTTCACATGAAAGAAGAAGCTATCAGGTCTGCCGGGGTCTATGCAAGTCTAACATAGATTGTAAAGCGCATAGAGCTTGCTGTTGAGCGGGACTTTGCGCAATACAAATGCTATCCGTTATTATTATCAACATGAAGACTGTTTCTTGTTGTAAACATGCAATAGCAGACTGTTTTATTAATCGTTTGTCTGACTGACTGTTTGCCACAAACAAACATTTTTAAGACTGCCCTGCCAAGATAGAGCATTAGTTTTCAGAATACCAACTAAAGCTAGGATAGTCGAGGCACGTTTTCTTTTTTGGTACAATTTTACAACATGAAAACTAAATTCTTGCGTCTTTTTACCCACCAAAAACAAACCATATCTGCATCTAAAAATGAGACAAATCTAAAATGGACCTGTATAAGAAGAATACCCCTATGAATGCCGCAAGGCGAAAGAAAGGGTATTCAGAATGCTCATTTTACAAATTTGACACCAGCATCTAATAACACTGAGCAAGGTGAGAGAAAAGTTTTGAAAACTCCTCACAAAATTCAATAGTTAATCACAATGGTCATAGGCACAATAGTTCAGCACAAAACCAGCTTAACAGTTTGTCCACCAAAATAGAAATAAAATCAAAAGGCAAACAAACAACATATGATACAAAGGAAACAAAGTACGACAGAGTTTCGTGGCTCCCACCTGACAGTCAGCAACACAGTACTCAGAAGCTCCTCCAACAGAAGTTCCCAAAATACAGAAGACACGATCTCCTTTCTTCACATTGTTGACACCAGACCCAACTTCCACCACCTTGCCAGCAATCTCAGAACCTGCAATACAAAACCACAAGTACGAAAAGGTCCCTCCGCATGCAAAAGTTGCTCTAACATTACCAGGTTAAAAGTCTCACATGACCCTTCTGACCGTAAACAAATTTCATTCTCTGTGGCACCAACATTTAGGTAGCCATGTCATGCATGAAAGATAATTTTAACTTTAAGAAGGGAGATAAAATCTAGACTTTTGCCTGTTGAGCTTAGAAGTGTGAGCTGTAGGTCTCATAAACCCCTCAATCAAAATTACTGAGCTGGTCATGGGCCTCAGTCTTTCCTCGAAAGGAGTTCCGCAGAGGGCCCGCCGGCTAACAGCACTTACCCTAACCGTAACCGTAACACTCCCTAACTCTTGTATAGTTTGCTTTGTGGACCTTGTCATGGTAAGTGCCGGCTCTCTGCGGAACTCCTTCCCTTTCCTCTTTATTGGTTGAATTTGGACTGCAAAATCAGTACAAAATAGGGATACTAAAAACATGTTTCATTTCCTGAACAGAAGGGATGAAAATGCGTCTACCCCTTCACTGCCCCGCTGAATCATCCGCGGGCCAAGAAGTGCTCCCCTGTGCCATGTGCCCGCTGATTCGGTGGGCCTATGATGAAGTCATTTTTCAGTGTAATTTTCCACTTTTTGAAGGGACAAAACTGTGTCATGACTAATCCTCATTGATATTACAGCTGTCTCCCGTGAATCTGAGCGTCATTTTCATCGTTTTGAAGTAGTGAAGTTTTGACGTTCTGAGTTGTGTGTTTTGGGGGGTTTTTTTGCTTTTCGCAATGGGATCCAACAGACCAGTCCATCGACCTTCCTTTTTAGCTGCAGAAGTTCTAGACGAAATTATGAAAGACTGTAACAGTGATGATAATGATTTCAATAGATTTTCTGAGTTAGGGGCTCTATGTGACGCTTGTAGTAATTGGAGCAATTTTCCGCGGCACAGCTATGTAGCTCATAGCGGGCAGTGAAGGAGTTAAACCCATTATTGTTTGTGATGCAAACACTGCTAAATCAGACTAACCTGGAACAAAAGGAGGCTCCACTTTCATTTGATACTGTCCCTTACTAGACAAAATGTCCGCAAAGTTGATGCCGTTTCCATGAACTGATAGTAACACCTGAAATGAATCCATCAAGCCACTCTGAACAACTTAGCCTGGAACATTGTAAATATCTTGGCAATAAACTGAAGACATTTCTGTTTAAGTTTAAACATTTTAAATTGCACATATTATGATTAAAAAGAACCAGAAAAATTATTTCAAATAGTAGCCTTTCCATCAGTTTAATCAGTGTTGTGTTCAGAATAATTCATGTTACATTTACATATTTATACACATGCACAAGGGTAAATGCAGGGGGATGTTTTAATATAGTTTAAAAAACTTGGATTATAATTTGTAAACCAAGAGAAGGAATATGTCTTAAAATTATACTGACATAATATCTGCACCATAGAATCAATAAACTCACCATCGGCTTACTACTAAACAACAGCAAACAAATAGAAATTCAAAATTGACTCATTGTGCTGCATTACAATTGACTTGACCAGGTAGGCCTAAAGCTTAGAAAAATAACATCATAAACCCCACATTAATCAAGCATGGTGGTGCGAAAGATCTATAAAAGCATTCTATACAATCTTAATTAATTCTTTAACACATACAGTGTCGAAAGTTCAAATAGTGAAAAACCCTCAGGTACCGCACCAGTCTAGAACGACGAAGCCATGGTAGAATTTTTTTTTAACTAAAAAATTATCACAGTCCAAGAAACACGTTTAAAAATGCACATTCAGCTGTTATATAGAGTGACTTTCTTTGATATAATATAAATTCAGTGCCAGAAAAAATTTCAAAAGTAGGTACAACTGAAAAAGAATGAAAGTTGTTTTTGCTCTCCTGAAAAATTTTGCTCACTGGTTTAGAGTATTTGAAAAGCTTGCAGCCGATACGACTACTGAATAAAAGAGCAAAATATCCACCTCTGAGGCTCCCAAACTTGAGGGGAAATCTGTCTCTCTTATTTCCATAGGATGACCAAGTTTTGTGCAGACAGCAGCTTTGTATGTCCTGGCCGAGCATTTGATCGGAGACACACTGAGAAGACTTCGGTTGTGTTTCAGAACATTACAGGCACTGTAAAAAATATTTTTTAAAAATTCATTTCAAACCTCCAGGCTATGCCAGTGAAATGTGGAGCTAGAGATAAAAGAGAAAAAAACGGTTACAATGTAAAATAGAAACACCCATCTCAGAAAACAGACAATGGCTTTCTCAACAATGGGTCTCTTTGATAAGTGATGATCTATACATGTGACTAAATGAAGAAAGACGCAAACTATTTTTAGGTAATAATAATAATAATAAATAGCATTTGTATAGCGCATATCTCCGCTCAACAGCAGGCTCTATGCGCTTTACACTATATTATTACCCCAGCAGACCATAGAACACTCCAAAACATTCTCAGCTTCCGCGGAAGCGTACAGTGCAAGCTGCGGATTTCACGCACTCAAACACTATCAAACTGACAAGATCTTTCTCTGTCTATAGCTGGGTACCCATTTCCACCTGGGTGAAGTGAGGAAAATTTGTGCAAAGTGCCTTTCCCAAGGACACAACGTCGAGCCCCTGACGGGATTCGAACCCATGACCTTACGGTTGCGAATCCAAGAGCCTAACCACTAGGCCACCGACGCCACTGGTAAGGCGGCCATCTTGTGTGATGTCAGACCGGGAAACCCCTCCGATCATGTGACTACATGATCTAAACATAGCCAACCGCATGGCACCAAAGATCATGTATACCTACCATGGCACGATGTTTAGTGCAATGTTTGTCCAGGAGACGTACTGGAAATGTGATATGATGCGGCGCTCCGAATCTCTTCTGCGTATTGTTTATTGGGCCAGAGGGGGGGGGGGGGGGTAATCTCCGGGTGTCTTTACGGCAATTTTTGTGTGCGTTATTATTTTCTTTGCGTTTATCGTGTTTCGATTTCAAGCATCAGCTTTCTTACTCTTCTGAGCATCAACGATCTAAGCCCTCTTCCATCAACAGAGCATGGCTGATGTGCTGCAGTAAGCTGCAAGAGTGAAATTTCACCATGCAAAACACATTGATAAGGATTTATAATACGTCTAGCTACTGAACCAACATGTCGTTCCATGCGGTAACTTCAAAAAATTGTGAAGTGTGTAGTGTAGTAGAGAATCCTTGGTATCTCCGCAGTCTTATAAAAATAGTCTGTGGGTATCCCAGGATGTGATGACATCACATTCATTACTAAAACAAGCAGCCAATCAGGCAGGTGCTTCGTTTAGCCGCATGTATGGTCTGTGCTCCACTTACACTTACCTCCTTCCCCCTGCTAACATCTATAAAGATATAAAAATACCCCCCGGGGCGGTGCCACTGACTGAAAAGTCTTTAGCTGGCCCAGCGGAAAATTGCATTTTTGAAATGGAAAAATTGCAAGGTAAACTGCCTAAAAATTGAAAAAAAAATTGCAACCTTCCCATCCCAGGTGCATTAATACGGGCTTAACATTTTTAGTTTTAAAAAACATGACAATTTGAGTACTGATAGCAGAACAGCCTTTTAAAAAATCATGACACACAGTACAAATTTTATTGACATTTACTAGTAACCACACTCGAGTACGTTAACAATAAAGTTATCGACCAAATATAATACAACACTGAGTAACAAAAAATAACGGAACCATCGGTTTTCGTAATAACTTATAAATGAAGACATAAAATTTGACCAAATTTAGTACATACCGGGTACTTGGTTTATGCAAAGATCTAGAAATGTATGAAGTTTCATGTCTATAAAAACAAAAAAAATTGACGGGAGATTTTCGAAACAACCTCTAAAAATACAAAATAAACTTATGCTCCAATCAATTCAGATCCTGTTATATTTTTCTCATGAAACCTTCGATACACCGGTAATCTGTAATTTAAATCTATTTCAGATATTTTCTGTTTTAAAACCAGTATGGTATTGTTTTAACACTAAGTGAAATTGAAAAATACAGCAAAAAAACATGTTTTTTCCATAAACAATAGTAAAATAATAACAATGTAGATCATTTCTATAGCGCCCACTTCCGTGAGAACGCAGCTCTTAAGGCGTTTGACATAATAGAGTGTCTACGTTCACATACATGGTAACCGGGCAGTTCAAAACTCCAAGTTCAGTTTTTGTCATCCCATGTTGCCTTCAACCCCAGCCCACCCCCGACTGTACCTTTTAAAAAAATCAACAATCCCCCATTCCGGAGCCCTTTTGCAGTGCACAGACTTTGAATGAACTTTGGTGACCCCAACCGGTACTCACAACAATGTGGTGCAAAGACACAGGTTCACTGACCGGTCATGATGGCGAGCCCGACAAGACGTTTGTATGACTTTCTTTTTTTTTCAGCAAATGACAGCACAGGACAAATATTGATTTATTTTCATTCAGGTTAGGTACCGTGTAGGTATAATAGATGACTGAGACTAGGTGCCCGGTTACCGTGTATGTAGACACTCCGTTTACATAAATGCATTATCATGTACGAACAATATTCACATGCGCGTGCGCACACACACACACTCACGCACACTTTACACACATGTACACCACACACACGCTCGCACCTACTTGCTTTTATTTTATCAGATGCGCACGCTTACACACACTAGATCTATGTCTCAGTTTGTGTTGTACATGATGTATTCCGGCCTGAATTAGAGTACGCCCAGTAGGCTAGAGCTAGGCCGATACATGTACCATGATTTACGTAGGCCTTCTATCGGCTCTGTACTCACACCATTTCATGTTAAAAGTTCTGTTAATAAAAAATTAAAGCGTAGATGTATTTTTGCCAAAAATTGCAAGAAATTGCGAAATTTGCCAAAAATTGCGGGTTTATTGCGGAACTCAATGAAAAACACAGCCGCAGTTCCTGTGGGGCCAGCTTTAATAGGCCATTCCCAAAGGGGGGACATTTCATGCACAGTAGAATCGTAAATGAGCTGATTCATCAATGTCACGCTCATAACTGTGCCTGATCAACTTGACAGCTCACAGAAAAAGCATAGGTAAGATTGAAGAATACCAGACCAGCGGACTGGGACTACTTTTGCCTAGATATGTCCCAACCGCAGGTATTTTAGGAGTTTTGCACAGTATAAAAATGAGCGGTTTGTAATGTTTTTTATAATGTATAGCAGAGAAATTGAAATTAAAAACAATTTCAATAAAAGCACTTTTAATGAAATTTAGCAGGAACTCATTTTCGTAGTACAGCATCCTTCTCTCAACCGTACCGTGGTCTGGGATACTTCATTCACATGCCAGCAGGGCGGGCCTAAAGAACACAGCAAGTGGAGCATCGCCAGACAGAGTGCGTGAGCCACCGCCTCTCCCTTCCCTGCGTGGTCTGGCATTCTTCGTAAGTGCATAATGAGATAACATCGATTTTAATCTCTCTCAATGAAGAATCTTTGACCGTTGTCAGGGGGGAACCCCCCCCCCCCCCCCAAACACACACACAATCAGGCCAAGCACTGAAACACAGAAATCATAAACAACACTGTCCTATCTAGATTTCATGCTATAACAGAAGGCATTTACTGTGAGCCAAGCACGGGACAAATGTTCTCAAGCCGCACACTCCTACTGACCTTTTAATGCATTCCAGCAAGGTGTCTCCTCCAACCTGATCCATGACCACGTTGACCCCCTGACCCCCAGTGTACTCCTTGACCTTGTCCCTGATGCTCTCTTTTGTGTAGTCAATGGCTTTAGCAGCACCATGCTCCAGCAAAAAGTTGCACTTGTCTTGGCCACCGCACACAGCAATCACCTGTTGGGCACAAACAAGTATATGTTGAGGGGTTGCTCACAGCATCAATCCGTGAACGACCATATGAGTCACAACACAGTGGTATCAGGCTCTCGTCAATTTTTGGGCATGTAGAGTTATTGGTATCATTTTAAAGCTTGCTTATTTGTATGACTTTCAATTTTTAAAAAATACTCATCCATCTTGAACAGAAGTCGAGATATTTGTGATTGAAGGAGGTGGGCCTAATTTCAGAGGAAATATAACTTAATAAGCGAGAAAATGGTCACCAAAGCTTCACTACTAACACAGCTTGGGAGTCCATGGAAACTAATGATGTACATTTTTTGTGCCTTTAATCAACATTTTTTCAGTAAAACCCACACAAAATTGCATTTTTGAATGGATATAAAAGGTGTTGAACCAAAAAACAAAAAATTCAATGAAGAATACCAAACCAGCGGAAATATGTCGGTTTCTTCAATTTCATAATTATGACGAGCGCCTGATTTCACCACCATGACTGAAATATTATATTGACGTTTGCTTTCAGCATTGATCCAATAATGGCAATATTTCATTACGAACAGAATTTTTTTTAAAGTAGCACCATATACAAGGAGAAGGAGCGCATCATTCCAAAGCATGTACCAACCAGCCACAACTATTCATAATTTGTGCTAAGAAACGCGCATTCAAAAATTACAAATCTCATCTGAAAGACTCAATGTATAGACACTTTTGAAGGTAAAAACAGTCTGAGAAAGTATATCTCTTGTCTAAAAAGAAGATGCTAAGTATACATAATATATCTATTTATCCTACAGTCACATGTACACGGTAAGTACTCTCAACTACTCTCACTAAATGAAAGCTGATGATGTGAGGTTTCATTTCTCTTTGTTTTAGTAGAGGTTTTTCGGCGCTCGCAACTGTGGTCTATTCGGTTGTTTAATTTGCAATATGGCGAGTTGGTCAATGGCAGGGGGTAAGGCCTAGCCTATTGTATTGTTTGGCTGAAAGTGTGAGAGTGAATGAGTAAAGTGAGAGTCACAGTTCAATTGTACTGTTTGGTGCAAAAGTATAAAAGCAGTCTGGATTACTACAGGTCAGACTTTAGAGGGGAGAGCTGTAGCAAGGCAGAGGAGGCCGGCTGAGATTTCGGGTGGAGAAAAGGCAAGTTAGAGCCTCGGTTTATTTCTGTGTTGTGTGTGAGATTTCAACGCACCGGGGCCCCATCGCGGAGGAAAGGATCACCATCCGGAGAGAAACAGGTTTGGCTAACCCCTATTGTAAAAGCAGGCAAACAAAAGGTTAGTGTTAAACCGTTAAACATTATTTTATGTTCAAGTAACAACAGCAACTGCACAAGGTCATATGAGCGCAAGAAGATTAGAGGTGCTATATCATCCAGTGCCAGATCTGCGACAGACATCGGCGATCATGGTTTTCCATTCATTCCTTTGCTCGGATGCTCT